CATGTTTCTCTTTTATTAGATAGGATAGTAAAAACTAAAAACTTTGGCCTTAGGCTTTTTGGTTAAGTGGATAGATTTTGGGACTGTGGACCAAAGTGTCCCAGATTCAATTCTGGTCAAGGGCAAGTACCTAGGTTGCAGGCTCCTCCTTCCCTGGACCCGGGTCGGGGTTCATGCAGGAGGAAACCAATTGATGTGTTTCTCTCACATCGATATTTCTCTCTGTCTTCCCTCTCTCTCCCACTCTCCCTAAAAATCAATGGAAAAATATCCTCAGGTGAGGATTAAAAAATAAAAGAAAAACAATGTGTATTGCGATGTAATATATACATTTGTTGCAACTTACCTATCCATCAATACACTAAACATTGTAGAGCCATACAATAAATTCTACAAAACCATTAAAAAGAATAGAATTTTATGTGCTGTCATCAAAGAAATGTTGCTGTATACTATATAATCACATTACAAGCAATGTGTGGGATGACCCAATTTATGTATATACTTATAATTCCATATGTATTTAAGGTGTAAAACAGTATCAAAGATTACAATAATCACATTTGAAAGACTGTGGATGAGTGGGGCTGGAAAAAAATATTTGAAGAAAGTATTTTTGTTTGTGCCAAAGGTCCATAAGCTATTTCTATGCCTTACTTTAGCTTTTTTGCTCTTGAGACCTTTTGGTACTAAATAATATGGGAGGTGGGAACAGTAGAGGCAAGGAGATGGTCTGTTGAGACAGTCTCTTTTGAGTATATTGTATTCCAAGAAAGGGACTCTAACAAGCGTTGCCAAGTCTTCAGTTCTGTTGCGATGTCCCTCAAAATAAATCAAACTTAATATCTGCTGAGTCCAGGTGGTTCCTGTAAAAAAAATAATTTCATTTCAAACCCTGAATTAATGTTTTATTAACAATGTCAATAATTATGCCATCTATCTCAAAACTATTTGGAACTTTTTCTTTCTTTTTAACCACTCCAAATATGCCAAAAAAAAATGTGCCCAACTTTTTTTTCTATGTCTTTTACATTAAAATTAGCAAAGATAAAATTAGGTGTTCTAAGTTCCATTTTTACTCAAAAAGAGTTGTGATAGTAGTGATTTAGATTAATCCTTCAGCTCTTTTGTTCCCTGTGATTCATGTATGTTCTGTTCATGTGATTTTCTGTGGCTGTCTCTGTTTCTCCTTCCTTAGTCTTTCTTAAAGCTTTACCTTTTGGAAATAGAGACAGTTTAAGAGCTCAAGACCCCTTTCAACGTTTCTTTTTAACATTTTAAAGGCCTCCCAATACAGTGCTAAATGAAAGTATTGATGGGCATTCTTGTCTCATACTTGACTTTAAATTCTTCACTATCGCATTTGATGTCTGTGGTAGTTTTGGTAGATTCTATTCATCAGGTTAAAGAAGTTGACTTTCTCTCTAGTTTGCTAATAGTCTCCCTTAGGAATGTATGCTGAATTTTATTAAATGCTTGTTCTGCACCTGTTGAGCTGAAAATTCAGGCTTTCTTCTATGCTGTAGTAATGTGGGTGAACTGCATTCATATATTTTTAATCCAATC